GGGAGGCTTGCTCTATGTGATCCAGTGCTTTCCGGCCACTAACTGTGCCGGAACGCACTAGATATAGTGTGAACAAGCCCTAAATTAAACTTGTACAGAGAAAAATGTGGCTGCTGCCATTGCTAGTCTCTCGTGCCTGCGTGTCATGCCTATCTGCTGGTTTCAGTCATTTCTGATCTAGAACAAGTATGCAAGTTACAAATTCCGACTTAGCTGTGACTCAGCTTTCTGAGAGCCTGTTCTGCAGCAACGACTTTAAAGAGAAGTATAGCCGAGTCATGTTTGGCTTTAGTTCTCTTTTGGGTCAAAGGAAGACATTACTGCCCACTATATGATGACAGCGTAGAGCTGTGCTGCAGCTAGGAAAGATCCCGACAATATGGTTGGAATCCACTCTGCTGCCAGATTGACAGCTGGCTCTGCCTGCCATCACCCCCGTCTGTCCCTCCATTCAGCACTGGAGGAATGGAGAGGGAAGTGAGGAATCCCTTCAAGGAGTGGTGACTGACAGTCACTGCCCTCTGCAGGGAAATGATCATGAACTGAGTGATCAGTGGTTTGTGATCGCTCAGTTCTCGATCAATAGAGCCGACGCATGAAAGCTGCAGTGTCACGCATTGGCTCTAACTGTGGGGATGATTGTATTTCACTCTCCCCATAGTTCTCCTTTTTAAGGGTAGCCCATCGCATTAAGGAGGTGGGACAGGGAGGATCCTAGTTCCAACCTTTTTAAGAAGGGTTTCCCTGACTTGCAGATAAAGTAATCTGTTTATGTCCCTGACTTACTATAACGGTGTCCGTTTAACACCTGAGCAGTCTCTTTTTACATAAGTAATGTTTATATTTTTCTCCTCTACAGGTACCAGTCTTTAAATCTGACACACGTCCCTGAACACAGTGCGCCCATCTACGAATTCCGGTGACAAGATGCAGAACACCAAATAAACATCCAGACCGGAGATGGAGCGGAGCTGTCCGCTTCCGAAACCTGCTGCTCGCCACCTCTGTCCAAGCTAGAGACTCTGAGAAGAATGTATGAGTGTTATAAGCAATGACGCATGAACTTGGTCTACTGGCGTCCACCTCCTATACCTGCCGCAGTTTTTATTTTAATCTGCTGAATTTCTTGTTTTTTATGTGTCTCCCCCCCCCCCCATCACCTCCTCCTTCCCGTCCTGTGCTTGATATGATGCTCCTCTGTTAGCCCTAAGCTCAAACCAACAAAGGGACCTTTTCCTGCCGACGGAGAGGACACCGAAGCAAATGTTGGGGAAGTTGTCGTTTGCTCCTCCATCTTGCGATTTATCGCCACCTCGAGTCGTAACGGATTGAGTGGCCAAGAACGTTTTTGCTTTTTCTATTGACTTCCCATGTTCTGTGTCAACTTTTAAATTGCAAGATGGGACAGACACTCCATTTGTTGTAGAGGATTTGATTTCCCTCACCCCATGATTGTTCCTTTGCCCCGAAATCCTTACCAGAGTCCTATTTTTGGTTCCCTATACCACCGAAAGAAGAATCTACTCCAGACTGCAATACATTTAACCCGTTTTCACATTGAAAATGGCAAATGTCAGATTTTTTTATATCTATAAATATATATTATAAATGCACATATATTTAATCAAAGATCTATATCTATAGATAC